AGCTTTTCGGAGAGGGGCTTGCCTACTTGCATAAACAATGAAACAATGAAAGTTCTTCTGAATATGATTCTTACAAATAAAGTTAGACATTTTTGAGGAAGGCTGTGGACAACAGGCAGTGGATGTGTGAGATTAATTATTGAAAGAGTTAAACTGCAGGTTTTAAATGCATCCCCCTTCCTTTTTTTGTCGGGAATCAAACCTAGAGCCTTGTGCCTGCTAGGCAAGCACTCTGTCACTGGGCCACATCCACAGCTCTAGTGCATTTTCCTGAGAGTCTTAATAGATCTTTGTTATAATGATATTATACTTTATTTTGTTTTTTAAAAAAGTAATATGTATCTGAACTTTAAAATGTTTTCACTGTGCCACCTCAGATATTTTGGGAAACAGAGTAATTTACAAATAAAGTAATTGCTATATAACTATCTTAGTCTCATTATGTATCAGACTCTTTTTGGGTTTTGTAATTTATTCATTTAAAAATTCATATGTCAAAAAAAAATTCATATGTCAGCCTCTGGAGATTTCATATTAATTGCAGATTAAGTGTACAGGTTCAACTATGGCTAAAAATTTAGTAATGAAATCAGCATTTATGTAAAGTAAGTCTACGAGCTACAGCTAGGACTTGTTATTTATTTTAAATAGGAGACTTTATACTCAAAACAGCCTTTAAAGTCTCCTATTGGCTTTGCTGTTCCTTTACAAAATATAAGGTAAAAATGTGGCTTCACTAGTTTGGAAGAATTTAGGATTTTGTGGAGTATCTTCAAGGTACCTATTGAGACATGTTAACATCTGTGCACTTGTGCACTTGCACAGGCTTGTCTGTCCTCAGCCCAAAAGGACTGCATCCCATTAAAAAGAAGATTGCCACCAACTGCTATCCAGTTGAGTTGCTTAGGGTTTATTGAGTGCTAAAAATGAGACTAAAAATATATACATATATATATTTGTGTGTGTGTGTGTGTGTGTGTGTGTGTGTGTGTGTGTGGTGCTGAGGATGGAACCACCCAGGGCCTTCTGCATGCTAGGCAATTGTTCCACTGAGCTATAACCCCAGCCTTGAGATCCCTTTTTAAAAAGAATTGTTTTACTGCCATCCATTTTTTTCACATAAATTTTATAGAACCCCATGTTCATTTACCACAAACTTTGAGGTTTTAAATGACACTTAAAGAAATTTCACACTTCTGTAGGTGTGACATCTAGCCCTGGTCTGAAATCAGGATGCTGGCAGTTCTTTTCTGCAGGCTGTAGGAGATAGTCCATTTCCTTGCCAGTCCCTGCTGTGAGCAGCTCCCCACGTTCCTTGACTTATGCCCTCTTCCTCCATCTCCAAGCAATAGCAGGTTAAGTCTTGTTCATAGTTGCATTTCTGCAGTGTCATCTTTCCATCTCTGTATAACACAGCTGAGGAAGGGCAAAAGGCTCTCACTTTCAAGGATTTGTGTGAGTAGATTGGGCATACATGAATAATGTAGGATAATCTCTCCATTTTGAGATCTTTAACCTTAGACACATTTGCAAAGTCCTTTTTGCCATGTGTAAGATAGCATCCCTGGAGGGGGAAATTATCTTGTCTTCCACAGAACACAAATAGTGTTGTAGAATACTAGTTTACTAATGTAAAACTTCTAGCTGAATGCAGTGGCACATACCTGTTATCCCAACTGCTCCGGAGGCTGAGGGAGGAGGATCCTAAGTTTAAGGCTAGCTTGGGCAACTTAGTGAGACTATCTCAAAATAAGAAAAATAAATAGGCTAAGAATGTAGCTCAGCGATAGAGTGTTTGCCTAAAGTGCATGAACATCTGGGTTCAAACCCCAGTGTAGCAAAAAAAAAAAGACAAGGGGTTGAATTAACGCTGAAAATTATGTTCCCTCTAATTCTATCTTTCTTAGGTTCCAACCCTTACCTGTACTTCCTGTTAAACATAATTTCTTAGGTTTTTGTAAGTACCTTGTTAGCTTTTGCTACATAACAAACCTCCCTGTGATTATTTATTGTTGCCCACACATCTGGGGGTCAGCTGACCTAGGTGGAGTCCAGATGAGTCTTTGATGCTCTGGACTTGGCTATGCTTCTGTGAGTTTTCAGGTTAGTTGTGAACTATTTAATTCAGCCTGGGACTCTGTGGATAGCTGTGCTCCACATGTCTCTCATCCTCCTACCTTTGGGCTAGCCAAAGCATGCTTTTCCTATGAAAATGGCAGAAATATAGGTGTGCAGTGGAAACAGGATGCTCTTCTCACCTAAGCTTGGAGTGGGAAACCTGCTGCTTCTGCTCTGTTCTGTCAGCCTAAACTAGTCACATGGCCAAATAAAGGGGCTGAGAAATACAGAATCTGCCAAAAAAAAGTATATGCACTTCAGCCATTCACCAATTAGTAAATGTCTGGAAGCTAATGGCCACCACTTTGAGCACCTCTTATAATTGTAAAGGCCAAAGGTAACGTGTTAATTTCGTGATGTCTCAATAAATTTAATATGAAAATATTTATATATTTTTCTTTTCCTGATAGATACATTTTTTTTTGGCAGAGTCTGTATCTGCCACCCCCAGGTAGGAGGAAATGTAGGCTTGAGTAGAGAGAGAATGAAGAGCTGGGCAAATGATACACAGTGATTTCAAGGCCAGCTTGAACTACAGAGCGAGGCCTTGTCTAAAAGAAAAGAAAAAAAAATCACAGTATTCTTGGTATAGTAAAAGAGATGGATAGATCTAAAGGAAGCAAGAGTGGAGACTATTAAGAGGCTATTTCTTCCCTCCCTTCTTAAGGAGACAATATTCTATATTCAAACTCATGTGTATCCTCAGCTGAACACTGTGACTACCTCTGTCACCAGAAACCTGTTTTGTTTTCCTTCTTTCTAGTGTACTCTGCCTGAAGTCAGAAACCTAAAAATTAAGTCTTTTCTTTCTCCTTTCCCTATTTGCAGTATTTACTTTGTGAATATTTTTCTGACCTATCATCTTTTTCTTATTACCATTACTGTTCTTGTTCAGGCTCTGAAGGGAGGAGGGGGGATGGGCCTGGGATTTAGCTCACTGGCACCATGTTTGATTCCCTGTACCAAAAAAAAAAAAAGGAAGGGAGAGGTGGGATTACAGGCATGCATCACCAGGCCCAGCCAGAATACTTCATTTGGGAGTCACATGTCACTTCACTTCACTGGCTTCTCTTTGTCTGTCCTTTGTGGTCTGGCTTTTCCAACTTCACCTTCCACTTGTTTCCTGCCTTCAATTTTACCCTTTTAGTTCAAGTGTCAGTAAATTATGGCCCCTGGGCAAAGATTTGCTCGACCACCTATTTTTATATAGTTATGAGCTAAGAATGATTTTTACATTTTTTTAATGATTCAAATACAGAACAGTATTTTGCAGTCATGAAAATTTTGAAATTCAAATTCAGTGTCTAATGGTTTATTGGAACATAGCTGTGCTCATTCATTTATGTATTCCCTGTGGCTGCTTTTGCACTACCACAGCAGAGTTGAGTCAGTGCGACAGAGAGCTCATGATGCAGAGCTTAAACATTTGCTGTCTGATTCTTTGTAGAACAAGTTTGCTAACCACTGCTACGGTCATACAGAACTTCTAATGCCTCCCCTTGTACAGCATTTTATTTCATTGCTCAGTGGTTTTTGTTGTTTCTTTGCCTGTGTATTTTTAAAATAACAGCTTTATTAAAATACAATTTATATACCATGCAATTCACCCACTTAAAATGTACAACTCTGTGGTTTTTAGTAAATTCATGGAGTTGTGCAACCATCACCACAATCAGTTTTATTTAGAACATTTTAATGACCATCCCCAAACACCTCATCACCATTAGGAGTCAGTTTCTGTTCCCCCAGCCTCTCAGCCCTAGACAACCACTAAATCTGTTACCAGGTTCTGAGTTGCTTTGGGGTCCTTCATGAGCCAGATTCTTGTGGGCCTGAACAAAGAATTGGACACAGGTGCAAAAGGTAGCAAAATTTTACATTTATTGAAGGTAGGAAAAGAAGTATGTTCTTCAGAGTGCAGAGCAGGCCACTTAGAAGGAGAGAGCAAAGTGGCCACAAGGTTCATGGCTGCCATCTTTTATATCTTCCATTCTGGTGTCAGATCTAGGCCATCTTATCAAAAACTTGTTTGATTTTGCCCCAGAAGAATTGAAGACAGCACTTTCTGATTGGTACCAGGTGCAAGGCTTGGAAACTGTTGTGCATGTGTCCTGGATCTCCATGATTGACAGGTTATGCCCGTTTGCCCAGCCAGCTGGTCGTGCTCTAATTTGCCTCAAACCCACTTGTAGTCCCTATAGATTTGCCTATTCTTGATATTTTGTATAAATTGAAGTTATAATATGTGTTTTTTTGTGACTGGCTTCTTTCACTTGGGATGTTTTTAAGGTTACTATATGTAGCATCTATCAATACTTAATTCCTTTTTGTTGAAGATCCTCTATCATATGGCTATACCACGTTTTATGCATCCATCAGTTGATGGATATTTGAGTTGTTTTTACCTTTTAGTTATTATAAAAATGTTGCTAGGAACATTTGTGTAAAAGTTTTTGTATGAACATGCTTTTTAAAAAATAGTCTTTCTTTTGGGTATCAAATTAATTTCCTTATCCTACAACAATAGGGTTATCTCTTCCAGAACGCATTCCTAACCTTGTAGGTTAAGTGTCTTTTTGTAAGATCTCATTACATTTTCACAGTACTGATATTATATTGAAATCATCTGTTTGCATGTCTGTCTGCCCCCCTCCTTCTGTAAGTTTTTGGAGGGTAGCGTCCATGCCTTACTCAACTTGTACTGACTATAAATAGTGTAAAAGTTTACTTAATATTTGTTGAATTAGAGAAACTATGAAACAATTTATGCTTTTGAATTAAAATAATCTTTTGTTATTTTTGTCTTTTGTACACTGGCCTTTAAAAAGTAGTCTTTTAGAACACATGTTGATGTACTGATCTTGAATTTATCTTTTTTTAAGGCCTGCAAAGAAAGCCAAAAAAGGTGCCAAAGAAAAAACATCAGATGAAAAGATAGATGAGATAGAAAAAATAAAGTCATACCCAGTCATGGAAGGTGAACCTGAGGATGATGTCTATTTAAAGCGCTTGTACCCAAGGCAGATTTATGAGGTGGAGAAAGCTATTCACTTACTTAAGAAGTTTCAAATTTTGGACTTTACTAATCCAAAACAATGGGTTTTTCTTAATTTGACACTGGATATGGCATTGGGGAAAAAGGTATGTGGACTCAATTAAAATAAGTTTATTTATGAAAAGTGGCCATGTGAATTGATGTTTCTTAAGTTTTAAAATTCTTTCCTCTCATAGTAATTTTTAGAAAATCTTATGTTCTTTGTATACTTCATAATGAAAAAAATATTTTAATTTTCCACATATATAATATGTTGAAAACACTCTAAAGAGTTGATAAATCTCTCTATATATTTATATCTGTATCTTTGTCTATATATCCTATTTCCCATTTCCCCGAAGAGTCAGTAGTATAAACATCAACAAAATCCATTGAGCTATCATTATAACTTCAGAAAATGACTTAAGTAGTCTGGGTGTCATGTTTCTTTGAAAATAGTGTTGGATTAGTTCAAATATATTCCTTGTAGTCCTGGGTTAGGGTTAAGTTTTCATGGTTTGCATGGTTAGGGTCTCAAGCTCCCCACTCTTGCTTCAGTCAGAGCCTTTTTGCTTTATCTGTTTATATATTGGCATTCTTCAAAAGATTTTTAATTATAAAAACCTCTAAAGAAAAACACTAGATTAGTATTGAAGTTTGTTATAGCCTTAAATTTTGTAAGCTCATTTAAGTAATTTTTAAAGAAATGATATTTTAATTTTCTTTCTGAGGATGTCTTTTTTGGGTCAGATTAGAAAATAGAAGTTTTTGAATACAACTTGACAGTCTCCACAAGAGCCTACCTAGGAGATAGTACTCATTTTTTAGTTCTCGCTGAGAAACAGTTTGTGCTAGCTATGTTACAATTTCTATCTTGCACCTTAATATTAGTGTTAGTTCTTTTATTTTAAACATTTTGTAGTGTCCGTAATGATCTCTTTCTCAGTCAGCCATGAATATCATTTAGAACAGTGTACTGTAGGACCACAAGCTTCGTTTTGAGTATGAAGCCACTGTAAACAAGTGACATTGAAAAGATATTGCCATTGTCCTAGAGCTTCCTTTCTTTTTTTGGTCTATAGAATGTTTGTACAAGCCAGTATTCCCCAGGGGGATGCTGTTACCATGATTGCTTAGCGTCAAATGGTTTACTGAAACCAGTTGTGACATGTTAATGGCAGAAGATTTCCAGCCAGTAAAACTAAGTTGTATGGCTGATGTAAATTAGGAATTCATACCTTCTTGTCTGAAAAGAAATCCTTAAGAGGCTCTCTCTACTCAAAATTTTTCTAAAAGCATAATTTAAAATCAGTTTTATTAGAGGAACATTTCTTTTTCTCTTCCAAATCTTCAGGCCACACCAACACTGTGGAGGGCCTAGGACTTGTTTTTATATGAAGTCTACCCAGGAGATCTGAGCCTCATGTCTCCCTAGGTCGGTGGGCCAAAATGACTGAGCCCATTAGTTTTTCAGCCCTATAGAGTCTCCTCTGGCTGCCTGAAATGCTGCCATTGTTTATTTTGGATTTTCCAGTTGACGCCCCAAATAGACCTGAAAGTGAATTCAAAATAGACCTACTCAGAAGGTATTCTATCATGGATTAGGGTTAATGCTACCTAATTGTTTAGAGCAATGGAGGCGAACCTATGACATGAGTGTTACTTGTTTTTCTTTTAAGACAAAAGATGTTACTGTATGAGGTTTTTTTTTTTTTTTTTTTGAGTCAGAGTCTGTCTGTGTAGTCCAGAGAGACATCATGGCATCGAACTTGCATCAATCCTCCTGCCTCAGCCTCCCAAGTGCTGGGATTACAGGCATGTACCACCATGCCTGGCTTATTGTTTTCCAAGTTAAAAACCTCAGTATTTGGGTTTAATTGCAGTGTCGGCACTTTGTGATAAATAAGTGGGTTTTGGGTTGCAGTTTGGGCACTTGTCTCTGAAAGGTTCGTCATCACTGTTTCAGAACAATGTTGACAGGAATGACCAACTGAGCAGATCAGCTGGATTGTCTGTTTAGTATGTACAGTTGTATTTATGTCCTCCTTGATGTCAGAAAATTGCATGCTTTTAAACATAAAACTAATTCAAGGTAGCATTTTATTGACAAAAATGAAATGGAAAACATTGTACTAGGTACTGGTGAGATACAGATAATGTAAGCATATCTGTTAGTATTTAAGAGACTGATGATGATACAGAGATAGATGCCAAGTGCCATGAGAGTATGGAGCTGGGAAGAGAGATTTAGTTTTTTATTAGGGTTTCTTGAAAAAGAAATATAATCTCCTTAGCTTTAAATTGTAATCAGTGAATAGTTCTGGATTAATTGGAGGACATATAGTAGAATTAAAAAACTAAAAACTTAGCTTTTTTATAGAGTGTGAGAGATAATAGAAAAGAAGGTCTTTTTATAATTACTTTCTCCCTCTTGTGTTTAGAAAAGAGTGGAACCATTTGCCAGCGTTATTAGTTTTCCATATCCATTTTCTTCAGAAGTCAATAAAGTTGCTGTATTAACAGGGGTAAGTAACTTTTGTCAACTACCTGTATTATTTAATTTTTCTAGAGATCCATGTTGATGATTACAATAAGTGAATTAGAGTTGCTATTATTATAATAATATTATATAGTACTGGATTGAGCTTCACATTGAGATGCATCCCCAGCCCTTTAAAAATCTTTTTTTTTTTTAATTTTGAGGCAGTGTATAATTAAGTCACTAAGTTGCTCAGGCTGGACTTAAACTTGTGATCTTCCTGTCTCAACCTCCCAGAATACTGGGATTACAGGTGTGCACCATGACACCCAGCTGATTAGAGAACATTTTAGTCTTATTTTCCCTTTCTGAAGTTTGAAGTAAGTGACTTGAGGGTATGGCACTAGTTTGAGAAAGTGCTAAACTAGAACTTTACTTTCATTATTACTAGTCTACTATATTATATTTTTTGCTAGAGAGTGTGAAAGTATGCAAGAAGAGTATGAAAGTATGAAAGAAAGAGAAGTATGGAATTTATTCTGCATAACTCCTGCTTTCTGTTCAAACTTCCCTCCTCAGAGAACAGTGGGATTATTTTAAAGCAATAGGTCTAGCTAGTTCTGTGGAGCCTCAGATGCCCAGCAACTTTTAAAAATAGTCAGAGAAGTCAAGTATGCAACTATTGTATCATTGCAGCTCTTTGTCAAACTTTTTGTATTAATGTGTTTGTATTAGTGTGCTTTCTGTATTTTGATTCTTCTTTACCTGAAGCTCAAAATTAAGGCATTTTTTTTTTTTCTCTGCTTCACTGTCAAGGAAGAAACCGCTTTCTTCCCAGAAAAGTGGGGAATGTAGTTGTTGGAATGCCACAAAATTTTACTAAGGGAAACATTTTCATGGTAAAAGCAAATGGTAAGGTTGGAACATACAGAAAGAAAATAACTAATACTGTATATTTATCTTTTGGAATTTTTCAGATGCTGGCTAAATTCTGGTTCATTAATTTCTTAAAACTTTTTCTCTTCATATTGGTTTTATAAATGGTTTATTTACACTAAGAAACCCCAATATTTTTTAATCTTTTACTTTTGGAAGGTAATGTATTGATAAATTTGGAGGCCTACCAATTGGTAGGTTCCTAATATTCCATTTTAGTGTATTTCCTCAGATGTCAGTCAAAAAACACCTCAATTACCTACAAACTGAACTTGTTCTTACTGTAATATATCTGAAATACTAATGCTAAACTGAAAATTTATGCATTTTAATTAAAAATAAACAGATTTTATTTTGAACTGTATTGCCTCTGACAAAATACTTAAAAATGTATTGAGTTTGTTTAAAATTAAAGATTGATATTTAAACTTATGTTTTGGTAGAATGCATCAGAGATTGAAATAGCAAAAGGACAAGGAGCTGCATTTACAGGAGGAGCTGATCTGATTCAGAAGGTATGGTGGTGTTTTCATGTTCATTATAGTGATTGTTCTGTGATCTTTGCTGTGATCCATTGATGTATTAAACAGAGTTATCAGACTTCTGTCTTTTGAAAAATGGTTAGTAGTTTAGAGAATGGGGAAATTTTTTTACACTTTTTTTTGTTTCTAAATCAAGGTAAGAAAAAGCTATCCAAGCAGTCTTCTGTTTATTATATTTGATTTACATTGTGATTTTTAAATTTTTTATTATTTATTTTGCTTAATGTCTCTGAGGGTTTTGTGGGTTGACTGGAAAGGGCAGTCTGATTCAGATTTTGAATGTGAGATTTAAAATGAAATCTAAAAGATAGCACACGTAGGTATATTTATTCATGTTTTAAAAAAATTAAATACTTGTTTTGCTTCCTTGGAGTGAAAGTATAATTCACTTGGTAGATCACAAAACATAATATCTGAACTCTATTATATAGTGCTTTTGGTTACTCTCAACTTTTACTCCCCTATCAGTTCAGGGGGGGCACAGACTCAGCATGGTAGCTAATAAATGAATGTATACTCTGCCTTTAGAAAATCACAAAAAGCTTGTGGAGCCCTTTTGGAAAGAATGGTATTTTTTTCCTCTAAGAGGTGGAAAGAAGAGGCACATAATTATTTCTGAAAATACAAAAGGCTTTTCTTGACATTCTGTAAAAGCTCCTCTTCTAAATATAATCATTTTGATTATGGATGGGGGGTGGGGTAGAAAAAAGTCACTTGAAAATTTACTTCTTTGTGCCATATTTTCTTTCAGGGAAGTTTTAACTGAGCTTGTGCTTTGTGATATCCAGCAGTGCTTGTAGTTTGTTTTGTTTTGTTTTTCAGTCAGTGTCTTGCTATCTATTCTAGGGTGACTTTGAACTTACTATGTAGCCCAAGCGGGCCTCAAACTTTGCAGCAATCCTCCTGACTCAGCCTCCCAAATGCTGGGATTACAGGTGTACACCAGCTTGCCCATCTGCTTGTACTTCATTTTTCCAACCCCAGTAATACTGTAAGTTTCCTGGAGATTGTAAATTTTTAGGGAGACTCTCCAAATGAGTTTTGGAAGCAGAATTAGTAGATAGTAAAAAGAGATTATATTTTAACGCAAGTTCTAAGCCAAATCAGAGCATACAATCCAATTTTTTTCTGGTGTCTCATTAATTTTAATTTTTAAACAATTACTTAAAATTTTTAATTATTAAAAAATAAATATGCCACAAATGCTTGAGAATTTGAGAGTTGAGCTTGGTCTCTAGAGTCAGAAAACTATTCTTATTAAATTTATACATAGCATTCCATCTTTTTCCTTCCTTCATTCCCTCCCTCCCTCCCTCCCTTGCTTTCTCCCTTCCCTTCGCTTCTTTTCCCTTCCCTTCCCTTTCCCCTTTTCTTCCCTTTCCTTTTTTCTTGCTTTTCTTTTGGTACCAGGGATCAAACTCATGACCTTGCACTTGAGGCAAGTGGTGGAACCACTGAGCTAAATCCCTGGCCCTCTTTCTTTTCTTTTTCTTTCCCTTCCCCCCTTCCCCCTCCCCATTCCCTTCTCTTTCCTTCCCCTTCCTCTTCCCTTCTCTCGAATGATCGAATGAGCGAATGATCCAGTGGTCGTGCTGGGGATCAAAGGGGCTTGTACACTGCACCACAGAGTAACACCCGCAGCTCCTATGCTTATATTTCTAAATTAGTCTGTTATTTTACTTAGCTCTTTTAAAATGTAATGTAGGATAAAGTTAGTAACCGTTCAGTTGTTTCTTAGGTAAGACCTTATTTATTCATTTTATTTTGAAATATCACAGATGTGCTTAGTTCTGTGTGATTTAAAAGTAATTTCATGTTTTTACTTGCCTCTGGGATTATGATATCTGTACATAGATTTGTATTATTCCAAGGTGTGATCTTAAGGTTAATTATAGCATAACTTTCAAAGACAATTTAAAATTTAATTTTAAGGCACGTATCATAGAATTAGTTTCAGAAGGTTTTTGATTAGAAATCTCACCTACAGTTCTTTGACATTTAAAATTGCCTTTGCTTTCATAGTTCTAAAACCACACCACCTGTGGTTGAGTTCTGTCTCTGCTTCACAGGAGTGTGCAGGTGACCTGTCTTCACTTTGGTCCCTATCTAGAATGTCTGGTCAGTGTTAGGACCTCTCTGGTAGGGTTGTTATGCAGATTGGGTGAACTAAGTGGTGTAAAATATTGAGCAGAATTCATGGCGTATGAGAAGTGCCCATTTAATGTAAATTGTTGTTAAGGAGAGCATAGTATGCTATTTAAGAATTTGTAAGAGGAAATAACAGAGCTGGGTGTGCTGGAGCATGACTGTAATCCCAGCATTTTGGGAAGCTGAGGCAGGAGGTCTGTAAGTACAAGCTTTACCTGAGCAGTTCAGTGACTTAGCAAGACCCAGTCATAAAATGAATGAATGAATAAATTTTAAAGAAAGGAGGGGATGAATGTAGCCCCATGTGAAGTTTCTAGCTTCAATACTCAGTACTACCAAAAACAAAAAGAAAATTAGTAACAGGAAGATAAAATTTCAGAATCACTGCTTAATTTTACTAGAGTTCAAATTTTAGGATTCATTGTGCAACTCTAAACCAAGGCTATATTTTGGTAAGATTTTTTATGGAAAAAAAATCATTGATGAAATACTTGTTTCTCAGGCAGTATTGTTCTAAAAATTATTTCATTTTATAATCAACTAAACTTTTATGTAGAATATAGTGAGTAGTATGATAATTATTTGGTGTTTGCTTGAATTAATAAAAATTCTTTAAAAAACTGATTATTGATTCTTTGCTCTGAGAATGAAAGAAGAGTATGGATAGTAAACTAAAAGAATACTTGTCTTTGACCATCTCCCTTTTCAGTTATTGGTGGGAAAGTAGTTGGTCTGTTCTTTGTGAAAATAATTACAGAATCAGTTTTCTTATGTTCTAAATTTACAAAGCTAGTGGCTGATAGTTTAGGAACCAATGGTTATTAATTTTATATGTAATCTATTGCAAAAATTTCAGCTTGTTTTCTTCAGTTTTAACATCTATGAATTCAGGTTTGTGAGGTTACATGGCTTGTGTACACACCAGGGCTATGTTCTAGCTTATAACACTTTTTTGCTTAACACAACCCTGCGGAAGAATTCACATCTTTAAATATGTTTTTAAGTAATGAATGTGGCTATTTTTAAAAGAAAATAAAAGAATCTTTTGTTTCTGATGGTTTTCATAATTGATAAATGTATTCATATGATCCTTGTGTTTGAAGAAAAGCATTGTGCTTAACGTCTTTTTTGAATCGTAATGGAAACTATGTATTTTCAGAAAGATAAAGCTTTTCATGGAACTGTAAGATTATCTTTTTCTCTTGATTTTCAGATTTTAGATGATGAAATTCATGCAGACTTTTATGTAGCTGTTCCAGAAATAATGCCTGATCTTAATCCATTAAAGAAGAAACTGAAAAAAAGATTTCCAAAGCTCAGTAGAAGTAAGGAAAAATTCTTTTTTTTATTTCAATGTACTATCAACAACTCTCAGCTTTTTTCATTTAGAAAACAAAGTTGCTAATATGTATGTAGAGCGAAAGTATGTCTTGTTATTTGAGTTTTGTGTTACAAGAGCTTGTAGATTCAATTTTTTTTGTTTGGCATTAATATTTAGTAATCTAATTTGAGAACCCTGTTACTTTTTACTATTAGTTCTTTAAATTTAGATCATAGTCTACCTCCAAATTAACATATTTTTTACTAGATATGTTATCATTATGTTATTCAACTGACTTTTTATACTTCTTTATGAATATAATATGTATGTTGACTAATTATTTAATGTATCCCCTCCCACCCTATACTCATTAATTTAAACCTTCAGTACATATATGAATGCATATATATGATTGCATGAGCTCAGCAGGTAGTTTTCATAAGGACTTTTCCCTTAAGAAATCTAGAGAGGTAAGGTTGCTACAGGAAGAGCCATTTTAGATAGTGTGAGGTGTTCCTTGATAAATTCACAAGGTGCTGTGGATGTTCACTAGAGGAGGAGTTTACACATATGTGGGGAGCAATGAAGGTATTGTGAAGGAGGAGACATTTAAACTGCATCCTCAATAATTGGATGAATTGATCAAGGAGAATCTTATTTTAAGTAAAGAAATGTATTAATCATAGACACTAAAGTAAATCAGAAACTATAGACCAGGTCTAAGTTGTCTTTGGTCTACAACCAAATGGTGCCTCTACAGTGAAATGAAAGACAAAATGGGAAATGATGGTAGAAAAGTAGATTGACACCATATTGAGAAAGACTTTGAATTAGGAGCCAGTGAGCACAGACTTTTGCTCTGTATTCAGCAGGAATCCCTTACAAGTTTTGAGATGTGGTGTGACATGACCTGTTCTTTAGAGCTTTAGGGTGGCACGAGTTTATAAGATGCACTAGCATGAACGGAACCTGGAGACCAGGGAAGTGGTTTAGGGTGCAAGTGAGTACTAACGATGATGTTTAAATGAGTGCTACTAGTTTTTTTTTTTTGTACCGGGGATCGAACTTGGATCCTTGTGCTTGTGAGGCAGGCGGCAGAACCACTGAGCTAAATCCCTGGCCCTCAATGGTGATGTTTAAACTAAGGTCTTTGTAATGAAGAGTGCCAAAGATATTTAGGACTTTGTGACTAAGTAGTTAGAAATGGATAGGTTGATGAGGAGAAAGGAAGAGTCAAAGGATGCTAAAATTTTTAAGCCTAGGGACATGTTCTGTTAAATGATATTGTTAATGGAAGAGCCATATATTTTGGAGGAAAAATAAGTTAATTTGCAGAGCAGTTCACTTGTTTTAGGTAGTGCTGGATGTCTGGTATAGGTAGAGATTATTTTGAAGAAAATTCGTTCTGGAAACAGAACAAGTATTTTAAAACTGTTTTAGTAGGGTTGTCTTCAAATTTCAACTCTAGTTGAGCTAAAAATATCCTGAAATTTTTCATACATGTTAGGCACTAATACTTGTTTGAATTCTGTATCATGATCGTAACTTGACTAGATTCAAGTGGACTCTCCAATTCTTTTGTTGTACTATAGGTTATTTTTGACAACCTGCATTAAAACACATATCCTTACTAGATATTCAACTTCACCTTGGGTGTTTATTAGAGATTTCCATGATAGTAGTGTTTGTTGTCATGGAATCAGATTGATACTCTTTCCTAAGACCTGAAATTGGACATTAAAAATTAAACTAGAATTGCAGTTGAATTTAATGAAAATGTTTCTCCTAATTTTTTGTTTCTAATTAATTCAAGCTCCACTCAGAGCAAAACAAACTACTAAATATTGCCAGTTAAAATGGAAGACAAACACTGAATATATCTGTTCATTTAGCACCTTGCTTTGCACAGTGAACCGGATTTTTGTATTTTTGGGACAGGATCTTATTATGACCTCAGACAGAAGATCCCCTGGCCTCAGCCTGACCTTAAGCTCATGATCCCTCTGCTTCAGCCTTCCACTTGCTGGAATTACAGGTGTGCCCACCACACCTGGTATAAACTGGTTTTTCATAAACACTAATATTGTTACCTTTACTATTTTATCTGTTCTCTGGATTCTATTTTCTTTAGCCTCAGGTTTTTGGTTTTTTTTATTACTCCACTTATCACAAACTTTGGTACTATTTTTAGCCTGAAAGGTTTTCCAATAACATTTCTTTATTCCAAACAACACATTTCCTGTTAAAATGTTTATTTTTATCACTAGGCTTTACTTTATTTCTACTTTCATAATGAACTACATCTTTCACATATCAGGGTCAGTCACTGAAGTTTGTGTTCTCCATTTGGTTAACAAGCCACCTGGAAAAAACAGATCTTTTCCTTCTCTAACATTTCCACTTCCCCTAACATGATCTGTTTAACAGCTCTAGAAAAACATTTGTGTTCTTTAAACATGAAGAGTAATGATGAACCTGCCAAAAGTGTTTTTATTAGAGTATCCTAGATGTGCATTAGAACAAATAAAGCTGCTTTTACACATTTTCAGAGCTTATTCTTGTTTAAGAACATTTGATTCCCCTTTTATCCAATAAAAGATTTTAGTGTAAAGTAGAAATTAGTTTTAAGCAAGTAGGTGAAATTAAGAAACAAAAAAGCCCCTGCAGCTGAGCTCCTTAGTTTCCTGTTTCATCTCAGTTTTACTAATGGGAGTGGGGAGAACCAGCTTGGCTGAATTGAATGTGCACATTTCGCAATGTGCACGTTTCACACATTTTACAGCACATTAATGCTGTGGTTTTAGTCATTTTATTTTAATTGCTTGCATAGCTAACTGTAGGCAAATTCTCCAGTTTTCAGATACACATTTGGTTTTCTCAGTATTTCTTTTTTTGTTTCATAAAAAGAAAATTTATGTACATGTACATCAATACATCTTAATTCCTTTTTTTCAATCCCTATTCCCCCCCACCACCAGTCTATCCTTTGATCTTCTCCCATTTTGGGGGTTGGGTACGTTTGCAATACCTAATGTTTGTTTACACTCCTTGTGTGGAGTTGGTACATGTATTTTACATATTTTAATTCCCTTTTTTTTTTATCCCCTTTCCCTCTCCTCCCTCCATCTCTTGACCCCTTCCCCTTTGAGAAAGATCTATCTCCCTACTGCCTGTTATCTATCCTTTACTTTGCTTTTTATTTTGAGTTTCTCATATAAGAAAAACCATGTGATAGTTAAGCTTGTGTGTCTAATTTATTTCATCTAACACTATGGTTTCAAGGTGCATCCATGTTTCTACAAATGACTCAAGTTTTTCTTTATAGCAGAGAAGTACTCCATTGTGTTTAAATACTACATTTTCTTTATCCATTCATCTGTTGATGGACATATATGCCACTTCCAAGATTTAGCTATTATTAGTTTATCTGCTATAAACGTGAATTGCATGTATCACTGTAATATTGATGTCTTTAACTCTTGGGAAGATACCTAGAAAGGGAATAGCTGAGTCAAATGGAATTTCTAGTTTCAGTTTTTTGAGGAATTTCTATACTGATTTCCATTGTGGTTGTACTAGTTTACATTCCCAACAGCAATGTGGAAGGATTCCTTTTCCCCTGCAACCTCTGCAGCATTTGTTATTATTTGATTTCTTGATGATAGCTATTCTTTCGGGGGTAAGATTGGAATCTCAGTGTTGTTTTAATTTGCATTTCTCTAATGGCCAGAGATGTTGACATTTCTTCATGTATTTACTGGCCATTTTTACTTCTTCTGTAAAGAATCTGTTCATGTCACTTGTCCATTTTTTGGTTGGGTCTTTATTTAGGGGGTCTAATTTTTTGAGTTCTTTATATATTCTAGTTCAGAATCCTCTGAGATATAGGTACCAGATTTTTTCCCATTCTGTAGGTTGTCCCTTCACTCTGTTGTTTCTTTCTTTTGTTGTGCAGGAGCTTTCTAATTTGATAGGATCTCATTTGTTGATTCTCAGAACTATTTCCTGGGCAACCAGATTTCTGTTCAGAGAGTCCTTAAGTTTTAGCTATTTTGTTTTCTGACAGGTTGTTTCTATTTTAATATTTAGATTTTTGATCCATTTTGATTTTAATTTAGTACATAGGGAAAGATATGGGCCTAGGTTCATCTTTTGCATGTGGGCAGCTGGTTTTCCAGCACCATTTATTAAAGAGGCTGTCTTTCTCCAGCATGTTTTTGGCCCCCTTGTGAAAGATCAAATAGTTGAATGTACTTGGGGTTGTTTCTGCATCCTGTGTTCTCTTCCAGTGATCCTAATGTCTATTTTTGTGCCAATATCATGTTGTTTTTATCACAGCTTTGTAATATAAAGTACAGAATTATGATGCCTCCTGCTTTGCTCTTGTTATCCAGGATTGTTTTTGCTATTCTGAGTCTCTTCTAGTTACATATGAATTTTAGGATTGTTTTCTCCAGTTCTGTGAAGATTGCTCTTGAAATTTTGATTGGGATTGCATTAAATCTGTATAACAGTTTGGGAAATATGGCCATTTTAACTATATTGGTCTACCTATCCAGAAACAGATGATACCTTTCCATTTTCTGATATCCTCTTTGATTTCCATTTTCAGAGTGCTGTAGTTTTTGTTGTAGAGGTCTTTTACCTTAGGTTAATTCCTAAGAATTTCATTTTTCTTGTGCTATTGTGAATGGTATTTTTTTCCGAATTTCTTTCTCAAAAGATTATTAATGTACAGGTGTATTACTGATTTTTGTGTGTTGATTTTGTATCCTGCTACATTTAATTTGATTATTAATTCTAAGAGTCTTTTGGTGGATTCTTTTGGATCTGCCATATAGAGGATCATGTCATCTGCAAATAATGATAATTTAACTTCTTTCTTTTTCTTTTTTCCTTTGCCTTTTTCTATTTCTTGCCTAATTGCTCTTGCTAATGTTTCAAGTACTATGTTAAATAGGAGTGGTGATAGTGAACATCTTTGTCTTATTTCTGATTTTAGAG